TAGAGGATTGCGAGTTGGAGTTGGTTTGTAAGGAGTTAATCCCCTGGCTCATTTCTAAGAAAGGTAGTTGTGGTGTATCCATTCTCCTGTGGGCTTTAGCTGGGCTATCTGAGAGATGACAGCTGCTAATGGAACCTTCTGGTGACAGGGAAACCGCTTTGTCACTCACCCCCTCCTGGCAGGCATCAGGGAGTTTGGTGTATGCCGCTGAGGCACAGGATGACATAGCCGCGCACCATCTTGGCTTGTCCTCTCCATAGCGTTGGCTGGAGAAAGAATGCTGTAAGCTTTGACTCTGGCACTCGTCCTTCCTCTTCCTGGACATCGCTGTATGAAGTTCTCTGCGGGTTTAGGAACCCGGTGAGTAGGGTTTGGAGTTTTGGTGTGTCCCGCTGCACTATGTGTGTCTCTCTCCAGCTTACAGAGCTCTCAGCTTAGGCGTCCATGTTGAGCGCATGCAAGCCACTCCCCCTAGCAAGCCCCTTTTGGTTCCTGTTGAGGGTGTCTTAGTCTTCAAAGACCCAGTGGGCAAAAGATTTGAGGCCCTTTAAAGCTTCTTTTGTTTTCTCAAGCTCAGTCACGCAACTGTTGCTGTAATTGCTATGGCCATTTGTCCAACTGTGGCATTCTGGGCCAAACACATGAGGCTCAACCACAAATCGGCCCTGACTGATTCCTCAGTGCACCTGAAATCGGTGCTCCTTTCAGTAGCCATGTGCTACGGTATAGACATTTTGGAGCACGTCCTGCGCCAGAGTTCTCAAGAGAAAATCACTCTTACCCAGGAAAAAGAAGCCTAAGGTACCCACGACTAAGTCTGCCAGTTCCAGAAGAGTACCGTTTGTTCCTCCCAGTCCTCAGTTTCGAAAACTAGTTTCTCCACTTCTGGAGGACTGTCAGAAGTCCTGGAAGTCAAAGTCAGCCAAGTCTGGTGCCAAGTCCTCCTTGCTATGAAGGGATGCCCCAACTGTTACAAATGGGGACATCTTTTAGCTTTTTTTTCGAACACCTGAACATGTGGCATTTTAGAGATGTGTATCAGGATGTAGTGTTTCAGGGGTACAGGCTGGAGTTTTGTTCCCTATTGCCTCCAAGCTTTTATGTCCTCCAATCTTCCTGCATCTGTGACATGATTGTGAGCCCTCCAGACAGCCTTACAATAACTTACCTCTTAGGAAGTGATTCTACCTGTTCCCTCCGAGCAATGATTTCAGGGCTATAATTCAAACCTTTTTACACTTCCAAAGCCCAATGGTGATATTCACCCCATACTACATTTAAAGGTTCTCAAGACCTTACAGGTTCAAAAGTTACGATGGAATTGGCCCGGTCTATATTTTCATTGCTGCAACAAGGGAATGCTCAGCATTGAAATACATTAATCCCTTCACGCCTAAGGGTAAAACAAATCTTAATGCCTAAGCACAATCTTGCAACTTTGACATGTGTTTGTAAAACCGTATATAGCATCACAACTACTTTGTACATCCAGGTGGATTATACCTTATTTTTTTTTCAGGACAAATTTGGCTTTCATCTGTGATAAATGGTAATGATATCTCCTATTTTTTTTTTTTTTTTATCAAAGCAAAACTGGCTCAAAATAGTAAAAAATTATATAATTTTTTAAATTTAGCTGTGTGTTTATTTTTACTACCAAAACCTACCACCAAAGAACAACCCAAAATACATTTTCAAGCTCTTGACGATCACAGCGATACCATATATGTTTGTGTATGCTATATAAATACTGTATAGTAATAATAACAATAATATTTGTTGTTTGTACCCACAGTACAGCCCAGAAACAATAGTGCACATTTTGTTTTTTGTTTTTTTTTACCTAAAACACACTGACACTAACTGATACCAATTAAAAAAAAGAAATCCTGACATTTGACCCTGACCTTGACCCAAATACTAACCCTGGCACTGAACTAGATCAAACCTTGATCTGGGTATTTTTTCTTTTTTTTTTTTTTATTATTTATTTGTTTATCCTTTTTTTTTCTTTTTTTTTTTTTTTTAAACAGTTGCTTTTTTCCCCTCTATGCAAGGAGAGAGAGATACAATGTATCGCCATATTTATCCATTCATAGAGAAAAAGAAAAAAACAAGGGGTGCGGGATGTACAGTGACTGATCCCTGTGATAGCCAATCAGAGGCTATCACAGCGATCATGTGACCTGCAATCGGGAGTCCTGGGTCCCAATCTCTAGAATAGGACCCAGGGCTCTCAGTGACACCCTGGTCTTTGTGCTGGGAGTGTGCTGTGCGGCGCGCTCCCAGCACAAAGACAGGTACGCAAATATGCAGCCCCCACGAAAAAAAGCACAGTTCGGTAAGGCTGTATATTGTGTTTTGTTGGCATGAAGGGGTTAAGGATGCATATTCCCTTTTTTCACCTGCAACAGCGGTTCCTGAGTTTGCAGTGGGCCAGCAGCACTTCCAATTTGTGGCTCTTCTCTTTGACCTGTCCCAACCCCCTCAGATTCCCACCAAGGTGCCTGCTCCTGTTGTGCCTTCAGAGAGTCCACATTATTGAATATCTGTATGACCTTCTATTTAAAAACTTTTCTGCCCTGGCCCTGGTAGCCAATGACACTTCAGAGATTTGGATTGGATCCTCAACCTACAGAAGTCTGTGTTGAATCCTTGGAGTACCTGGGTCTAGCCTTGAACAAAGACCTGCACTAAACAAATGTTTCCTTTGGTCTGATTTTGTGTGGGGGTTCTGGGTGGTGATGTTTGCCCAATTTCACTCCAGGTCTCTACAGCTCAATGTACTTACTGCTTTGGACAAGTTTCCTCAATCTTTGGACAGGCCTATGCACCTATGTTCCAAGACCAGGATTTCTCTGACTACCCCTACGCTGGAATTGGGGAAGTAATCTCTCATGACAGGGTGGTTCTCACAATGGATTTCAGCCTGTCAGGTTGGGGAGGTGTCCTAGGGACATGGCTGTTAAAGAAGTCCAGTATTCCCATCAAGCCTACTGTGGTGGACCATCCAGCTTCAAAGCTAACCAACAAGGGTTTTCTTGGGCAACTCCATCACTGTGGCTTACAGCAATCATCAGTGCAACACCAAAAAGCCCTTCAAGAAGAAGACCAAATTATGATTTTGGCCAAAAAGCACATTCCAGCATTGTCCCCATTCTCGCTATAGACATTAGGCAGGTGGATATTCTCAGGGGATATTGCCAGGATGCAGGAATAGTCTCTTCATCTTGAGGTGTTCCAGGACATCTTTTACCTCTGGGAGACACTAGGCATCAATCTTTTGGCATCCTGATTCAACAATAGGGTGAACAGGGTTGTTACCACGATCAAGGATCCAAAGTCCTTTGCAGAGGTCACACTGTTGACACCTGCTGGATCAGTTTCTGTAGTTATATACCTTCCCTCCACTATGTTTTTTTTTTCCTCTACTGTTTACAGTATCAAGGAGGAGGGCATCCCAGTGATTTTGGTGGCACCAAATTGGCGCAGAAGGACTGATTGAAAGTCTATCATTGCACTTGGAAAACTGTGTGGTGCGAGGTACTTAGTTTTCATTCTAGATGATACTCTGTGAGACATATTTTGTCCTTTCTGCAACACTCTGAAAAAGAGTCTTGGCATTGGTCATTTTGTTGCAGAGATCACAGGCCTCTCATTCTCTGATAAAGGCCTTTGTTCAGGAGCTGGTGCACACCTTTTTCTGTGCACACCTGTCTCCTTTGGTTCTGTCAGCACTACAGAAACCGCTCTTTGAGCCTTTTTTGGGATATTCCTTTGGCCTACCGTACTCATAAGGTAATTTTTTCATGGTTCTCACTCCAGCAAAATGGACCTCTGAACTGGTGGCCTTATCCTGTAAAGAATACTTCCTTGCTCCTCATAAAGGCAATGTGGTTTAAAGGCCTTTATCCTCCATTCTACCTAAAGGTAGGGTTCTTCCACCTTAATCAGGACATTGTCCTATTTTCTCTTTGTCTGCACCAAATTGCCCCAAAGAGATCTCTTTACATTGTCTAGATGTAGTACCAACAGTGCGAGTTTAATTCTCTGCAGCTGCTTAAATTCAATCCACAGCTTTTCTATTTGTCCTGCCTCTCTTTCAAAGGCTGTCCTGCTTTTTGTTCCACCATTTCATGGTATATTAAGCAGGTTATCACTGAGGCTTACACCTTGAAGGATAGGAATCCTCCTTTCCCTGTTAAGGCTTACTCAACCCATATAGGGCAGTGCCTTTTGGGCTTTTCAACACCAGACATCTGTTTTTCAAATTTGCAAGGCCACTACCTGGTCCTCTGTTAACACATTTGTGAAGTTTACTAGGTGGGTATCCAGGCCTCTGTTAGCAATAGTTTTGGTCATAAGGTGCTTCAAGCTGCTCTTTGAGTTGGGAACATGTTTTGGGCCCGTTGGCTTTGGGTGCTGTGTTGCCCAGCCCTCAATTTTTTTAGGGACATCCCATAGTCAAGACTTAAAGGAGCCTATATCCTATACTTTGACTATGAAATAAAGGTTTTTGGCTTAGCTGTACAATTATTTTTTTGGGGAGTACAGGACACAGGATACCCTCCTCCCTCTGTCCTGGCATTTTCCTCTGATTGCTTGCTAAAAAAAAACTGGTGATTGCTTGGTACAGGAGGGGTTATTTGGCCTGTCCTAACAACTTTGCTAGTGTCCTCACCTGGCAGCATCTGACTCATGGTCAAGACTTAAAGTAACTTGTGTCTTGTATTGTAATCCAAGAAAAGGATTTTAATGTCAAAGTAAAAACTACTGCTACTACTATACTGATATACATGCTGCAATACTATTACCATTATAACTCCCCCTTTTTCCATGATCTCCATAAGTCTTACAGAAATGTGTGCAGACATTTGGCGAATGTAGAAGACAAGCCTCTGAGCACATGTTCTGTCCTGACCACTGTACTGCATAACTTGTTACTCTCAGGCCAGTAGCACAGTGGTGGACACATCTCTGATTGGTTGTGTTTTTTGCAGGAGCTGGAACGAGCTTGGAGAGATTACGACAAGTTAGAGCGTGAAGTCACCACTGCAAGAAACCAGCTGAGAGAACGCTTGGAACGTCTCGGGGAGGTCCAGGTACAGTCCTGAATTGGCCATTAGAAGTGTCACATGTCCCAGTCCCAAGGGAAGGTCTAGGTAAAGCCCTATATTACTCAGTAGAGATGGTCTTATGTCTGGGTTTCTGGGGAAAGGTCCAGGTTCAGTCTTCTACTAATGATTTGAGGTGTCACATGTCTTGTACTGTAGAGAGAGGTCCAAGAAAAGTCCTACAGTCAGGTCCATAAATATTGGGACATCAACACAATTCTAAAATTTTTGGCTCTATACACCATCACAATGGATTTGAAATGAAACGAACAACATGTGCTTTAACTGCAGACTGTCGGCGTTAATTTGAAGGTATTTACATCCAAATCAGGTGAACGGTGTAGGAATTACAACAGTTTGCATATGTGCCTCCCACTTGTTATGGGACCAAAAGTAATGGGATAGAATAATAGTCATAAATCAAACTTTCACTTTTTAATACTTGGTTGCAAATCCTTTGCAGTCAATTACAGCCTGAAGTCTGGAACGCATAGACATCACCAGACGCTGGTTTTCATCCCTGGTGATGCTCTGCCAGGCCTCTACTGCAACTGTCTTCAGTTCCTGCTTGTTCCTGGGGCATTTTCCCTTCAGTTTTGTCTTCAGCAAGTGAAATGCATGCTCAATCGGATTCAGGTCAGGTGATTGACTTGGCCATTGCATAACATTCCACTTCTTTCCCTTAAGAAACTCTTTGGTTGCTTTTGCAGTATGCTTTGGGTCATTGTCCATGTGCACTGTGAAACGGCGTCCAATGAGTTCTGAAGCATTTGGCTGAATATGAGCAGATAATATTGCCCGAAACACTTCAGAATTCATCCTGCTGCTTTTGTCAGCAGTCACATCATCAATAAATACAAGCGAACCAGTTCCATTGGCAGCCATACATGCCCACGCCATGACACTACCACCACCATGCTTCACTGATGAGGTGGTATGCTTAGGATCATGAGCAGTTCCTTTCCTTCTCCATACTCTTCTCTTCCCATCACTCTGGTACAAGTTGATCTTGGTCTCATCTGTCCATAGGATGTTGTTCCAGAACTGTGAAGGCTTTTTTAGATGTCGTTTGGCAAACTCTAATCTGGCCTTCCTGTTTTTGAGGCTCACCAATGGTTTACATCTTGTGGTGAACCCTCTGTATTCACTCTGGTGAAGTCTTCTCTTGATTGTTGACTTTGACACACATACACCTACCTCCTGGAGAGTGTTCTTGATCTGGCCGACTGTTGTAAAGGGTGTTTTCTTCACCAGGGAAAGAATTCTTCGGTCATCCACCACAGTTGTTTTCCGTGGTCTTCCGGGTTTTTTGGTGTTGCTGAGCTCACCAGTGCGTTCCTTCTTTTTAAGAATGTTCCAAACAGTTGTTTTGGCCACGCCTAATGTTTTTGCTATCTCTCTGATGGGTTTGTTTTGTTTTTTCAGCCTAATGATGGCTTGCTTCACTGATAGTGACAGCTCTTTGGATCTCAGCTTGAAAGTTGACAGCAACAGATTCCGAATGCAAATAGCACACTTGAAATGAACTCTGGTCCTTTTATCTGCTCATTGTAATTGGGATAATGAGGGAATAACACACACCTGGCCATGGAACAGCTGAGAAGCCAATTGTCCCATTACTTTTGTTCCCTTAACAAGTGGGAGGCACATATGAAAACTGTTGTAATTCCTACACCGTTCACCTGATTTGGATGTAAATACCCTCAAATTAAAGCTGACAGTCTGCAGTTAAAGCACATCTTGTTCGTTTCATTTCAAATTCATTGTGGTGGTGTATAGAGCCAAAAATGTTAGAATTGTGTCGATGTCCCAATATTTATGGACCTGACTGTATATTAGCCTATTGCCCAGTAGAGGTGTTGCATGTTCCGATCTCTAGGAAAATCGTCAGGTATAGTCCCATATTACCCTTTAGAGGTATCGCATGTCCTTATCCCTAGGAGAGGCCCAGTACGGTTCTATATTACCCACTAGATGTTGTCATAAAACCCAGTCCAGGTACAGTCTATATTGCCCATTGAATGCATCACATGACCCAGTCCCTAGGACAAGGTAAGTCTATTTTATCCATTAGATTTGTCACATGTTCCAGGGCCTAGGGGGGAGTTCCATGTACAGTCCTGTATTACCTGTTAGAGCAGTGGTGGTCAAATTGAAAATTATAGAGGGCCTCAAGTGCAGCCCCCAACAGTTCCAGAAGGCCGAAAAACAGCATTTTCGCACTTCAATACCCATAAACATTGGTCCTGCTGCATTGTTGCCATGTATTACAATGCACATTGAATATGCTGGAGTACAATAAACCTAGCATTGGTGTCAGTGAGTGCCGTAAATATCCCCAGTATTGGTGTTCGTGAATGCAGTAATAACTCCCAGCAGTGGTGTTAGTGGATGCAATACTAACAACAGCATTGGTGTCAGTGGACGCAGTATTAACTCCCAGCAGTTGATGTCATTGGATGCAATGATAACCCCCAGCATTGGTGTCAGTAGATGCAATAATAACAGCCAGCTTTGGTGTCGGTGGACACAACCCCAAACATTCATGTTAGGGGCTACAATAACCCCAGCAATTGGTGTCCATGGGCACAATAATAACCCCCAGTATTTGGTGCCAGTGACCGTAAATGTTAACCTCACTACACCCCCCCATGCATTGATGGTCATGGTGATGAAATTTAACTCATCCACCCAGACCAGCACTAATGCCAGCCCTCCCCCTTCTTGCATTGGTGGTCATTGGTAGTGAAATTTAACTCACCCCTGCATTGGTGGTCAGTGGCAGTGAAAGTTAACCGCCCTTCCTTCATATGTGGGCATGGCAGTAAGTGTTAACCTACCCACACCCCTTACCCATTACACACTCTGCCCACAGCACAGGCTCCCCTTAGTGCCAGGTGCTTTAACACGCAGAGCTCTATTTCTATATGTGCCCAATAACCCGGGGCCCATGGGCTATTACCCAGTAGAGGGGACCCTCCATAGAAGGGCGTAATTAATACTGGGGAGTAGTTTGTGCTATATAAAAGACTAAAGCTCTTATACCTATTTTCAGCTATAGGACTATTATGTCTTAGTGTTCCTAAGTGATACACTCAGTATATTATGTATACAGGTGTTTTGCTCAGCACCTGGCGCCTCTTCTCTTCCATGCAGATGTCTTGGGAAACATCGTACCCCAATTTTGTGGCTGTTGGCAAATGTGCTGAGTGCGCTATTGTATGCTCACCATGTCATAGCATTATACTGATGTTCAATGTGTGCTATATTGATGATATATGATTGGCTTGAACAGACAGAGACGGCTGGCATACAGAGGGCACAGATGCAGAAAGAGATCTGGAGGATCCAAGATGTGATGGAGGGATTGAGCAAACATAAGCAGCAGAGATCAGCAGGTGGGTAATGTCTGTCTTTTTTATAAATTGGGTGAAATCCACAAAGTCTTCATACTTTACTCAGAGAAACCTTTATGTGTTTTCTCTTAATTGCTGGACAGGACGCAAATCCATTGTATGGAAAACTACTGATTTTTATATTTGTCCTTTTGCAGATGCTTCTGACTCAAACTTATTTTCTTCAGGGAAGAGTACCAGTGAGGTAAGTGCTGCCATGGCACATAGCTTGTGTTCTGTTGATTGTGAGGAAAGCTGAAGCCTGAACAACATAGGAAAAGAATTTGAGGAAGTCTCAGTGGCTCGGGTTTTAATGTCGTAACCTTCAACACAGCAGCCATCATTAAATAGGGAAGACCAAATCAGTTCCACCTTGGTTAACCTTGAAACAGATCACTGCAATCCTCAGTTAAGGGAAACAGGAAGTTTTTAACATTCACATTATACTGCCACCTATAGATAGGATATGATACTTGCAAACAAAAACTGTGGGCCAGCCTAGGAGGATTTGATACTGGCAAACAAAACTGTAGGCCATCCGAGGATAACCCCTCCCTGTACCAGCATGTCGTAGGAAGATGGACACATTTTCTGCTCTGTTAAAGATCAATTATTTTTTGCTAGCAGTTTATTTCATTTTGCTTCAATAAAACGGATCTCTGCATTGCTGCTAGAGCTTTCTCCATTTAATTACAGCTATCCAGCACAGCTATCCTCACCCTGGCTTTTGTTTTATCGTGTCCAAACTGCATTGAACTGGATGTTGCAGGATAGTCTGGAAATGACCTACATGGGTTCCACATAGGGCGTTTTTTAAACTCCTGTCTGGTAAAAATTTAAATTCAGGGTGTTTTCTGGGTCCAGACCCTCTGGCATTGCCTCGGTACTTGTCCTTTCTCTGAAGACGCAGTGAGTACTGTAGGCCAGTGAGTCACTGTGTGATTTTTGTATGCGCTTCATTTTATTTCCAACAATACAGCATTGAGGGAGCATCTCTCTCCTGCTGCAAAGAGCCACATGAAACTGGTTTCTGATCCTTACCTGCTGTTCACTTACAGTGGCATTAGTCACCTCCTGCCATCCAACGCTGATCTGCTACCAGCTGTTTGGGTTGCATGAGTACCTGAGGTCTTGCCGGTTACCTTGAGCTTATAAGTTGCCTTACTGACAGGAGGTTGTAACATGTCTGATTCTGGACACAGCGGGGAGATGGCCGTTCCACCATATTGGGTGGGTGCCCCCAGCATACTTCCTATTAAGACTGGGGCTTCTTGCATCAAACCTCCTGATGGTACCAATGTCTGCAGCCTGAAATTGCATTGCCCTCTGCTCGTAGAGCCTGTTTTGTCCTCAGCATCATCTTTATCTCCATCGGGTGTGACAGGTCTTTACCATGTTCACACAAGAATTTGACTCAAATTACCCAAATATTTGTTGTTTCTGATTGTAGAGACCACAAATGTGCTCCCACTCTTACATATCAGCTGCAGAAACTGTGTGATGGAGTCCCTCCAGTTTATGACTAATGTTAATTAGGAGACACAAGCTACTGCTATTGGTCCCAAATTAAAATAGACCATTATGGCTCTTATGCAATGTGCATCACTTGAAAATGGAAGATTATCCTATTGCTTTTACCAGTACTGTCTCTAGCCTTGGGTCGTCTAAAACTCCAATGGTTGCAAACACTTTCCCTCTGAACTCGCTTTTTCAGTTTGTTTTCATATGGAGATTGGAAACTATTTTTCTCTTCCTGTATGTGTGCAATGTCATAATATGTGTTGGGCACTTTGGCAGTGCTAGACTGTAGAACCTTCGTGCAAGAAGTGCTACTGATGGCAAGGGCATCCATATTCCTCAGTGGAAGAAAACAGACTGTGAAGTCTTTTCCCTCTCTGACTGTTAAGAAACATTTCTTTCATTTCTCCACTCCCCCAACCTCCACGTCGAGACCCTCCCAAACTTGGTTCGCAGTCCACCCCCCCAAGTCTGAAACTTACAGTCTGCCAAATTCTTAGACAATCCTACCTCAGCATAATGTTTTTCCCTGCTTTTCTGAGGAATCTCAGTTGCTGGGGGCAGAAGATGGTTTCCCAGGACTACAAACTGGAGTTTTGTTACCTGCTCTTTTTCATTGTCTCATCTCCAACCTTCCTGTGTCAATGCACAGGTTAGTGGGTCTCCATCTGGCTTTTGCAAGTATTCTGTATCAAGGCGCCCTTGCCCCAGCTTTGAATGTCTTCATTCTGGTTCAGAAATTCTGCATGAAATCCACCAAATCTGTCATTGCCTCCCTTCACCAGGGGTACTTTCTGGATTTGGTGTATATATCGATAATGCTTACCTTCATGTCCCCATCTTCCCAGTGTATCAGCAATTTCTAAGAGCTTTGCTGTGGAGCCCCTACACTATCAGTTTGTGTCTTAGCCCATCTCAACAGTACCTCAAGTATTTACCAAGGTGCTTGTTCTAGTGTTAGCCCTGCTGTACATTTTGTTATTTATTTTTTTACAAATTTTATTCAAAGAGAAGGCAGATTCCATCACAGTCAATCTACGTAGATACTGATGGAAACAGCTTAATGTAAAACATGACTTCCATTATTGTGCAGAATAACATAGATACATTACATATGTATGAAGATGCCATGCTGGTAGAACAAGGAAACTAGTAAATATTAAGGCAAAAGAGACCTCATATCAAAATCTTCAAGTCGGGTATGGTGTGCAAACCGCAGAGTTTGCACCCTATTGTGACTGGGAGTAAACCTGCTACAGTTTTCACTCATATTTATTGGAAAGAGAAGATATAAAGAGCAAGAGGAAGCATTCCGGTAGAAAAAAGGGAGGAGTGGAGAGGCAAACAAGATAAGAAAAAAAAAAGGGGGGGGGGGCCTTAAAATGATGGATGGGGAGGTAATATGACCCTGTGGAAGGCAATGAAAATAAAAAAAAAGAATGCCTACGTTCCCGTGGAACTCACTTCGAAAAGAGCCTTACCATCTTCTGTGTATGTGAACATATTCCACAGGGTCCAGGTTTTCGAGTAGACTTCTCGTTTCTGCTGCAAGGAAAGTATCAGGTCCTCAAACAGGTTTAATTCCTCTGCTTTATTATGCCAAACTCCAATGGACAGTGGATGAGTGCTCTTCCAAGTGAGGGGTATACATGACTTGGTGGCATTGAGAAGGTATTGGAGTATTGACTTATTATTTTAACGGGTATTTTAGAGTCATGAATGAGGAAACATTCTGGGTCCTCTGGTACTATATAATCAGTGAATTTCTGTGTAATCCTCTGGACCTCTTTCTGCTGCACTTTTTGGCTCCACCACATGGCTTTGACTCTCCAGATGTTACAGCGGTTGAAGTGGATCCTGAACCTTCATAAACTGTTGCTGGAACCTACACATGGTTTGGAGTTTCTAGTCCTATCTCTATTAGACACAGCTCCGGCCAGAGTGTTTCTTTCACAGTAGAACCTTTAGACTCTGTTCTCAGATCAGGAGCCATCCTGGTTCTCTCCTTTTGCATGAGTCCTAGGTCTGATGATAGCCTTTTTTAAGAAGTTCAATTTGGCCAGTTTTACTCCAAATCCCTACAATGCTACATTCAGTTGTCAAGGTACAAGCCAATCCGGTCGCTGGAGGATATACCGGTTTACCTATCACCTTAGACCAGGTTATCCCTGACTTTGTGACTCAGAAATCTTGCTCTGGAGTCTGGGAAGTCTATCTTTTCTGCTTTTTGGTGAAACCTCACGATGGATACCAGGGGAAAATTGGAGGTTAAGTCCTGTTCCCCATTTTGGTGGTGCAAGGGACTTGGTCATCAGGAAGAGTCTTATGTCCCAACTAATATTCTGGAACTTCGTGTGATTTGGCACTGTCTGCAGTATTGGGTCATCCTGCTGGATGGACAATGTGGCACATATCAATTATCAGGGAGGAGCTAGAACTCTTAGTCTTTAATGTGGATGTTCTGGCCTCCAGGCTTAACAACAAACTGGACAGGCTTGTCTCCAGGTACAAGGATCAATTAGTAACAGCAGTAGATGCTGTGGTGACTCTGTGGGATCAGTACACCCTGATCTATACCTGTTCTCACCTTCTGAGCAATAGAAGCATCATTTGAACCCATTCTCTCTTTGCTCTCACCCACAAGGCACTTTTCCGTGTAGCCATCACTTCTGTGAGGTAAGCGTCTAAACTGACAGCTTTATCCTGGACCAGGGATTGTCAGGTGTTTCCTGTGTCCCTGAATTATGCCATCTCTTCATTGTAACTTCTTTTTTTCGCTCGTTTCCAGGATAAAGGTGGAGGACATTCCTGTGATTCTGATAACACCTGCTCAGCCAAGAAGAACATGGTTTGCAGACATCATAAATCTTTTGGCAGAAGAGCCACGGGACAAAAAGGCTTGCAGGCGGCTTTGTAGTGGGGTTTCCCAATACTGTTTTTGGGTTTTGGTCCTGTTGCTGTTTTGCCCACGCCTCATGTTCACTGCCTTGGGACATCTCAAGTAGTCATGAATATGAAGTGTCCTGTGATGTATGATAAAGAAATTAGGATTTTTGGATTAGCTGTAAAATCCTTTTTTAGGAGTATATCACAAGATACAGGGATCCCTCTGCTCTTTGTTCCTCTTTGCTTTCTGCAAAACTGAGACTTAGCTGAACTAGGAGGGGATTTTCTGTGGCGTTGAATTCCTGCCTTTTTTGGCCAGTGTCCATTCACCTAAAGGTAGCAGCATAACCCAAGTAGTCATTAATTCAAAAGTTGCCCTGTGATGTACTCCTAGAAAAGGGAAAATAGTTTTACAGGTAAGCCAAAAATGCAAATTTACAAAACTGAACACTTTACATTAATGTACTGAGAACTCTGTAATGTATAGGAATGTTTTTGGCAAAAGTCATTAAATGTAAAATTATTCAAATTTTCAATTTACTTACTGTGTGGGTGTCCGACACTCAAATAAGTGCACAAATGTTACTTGACATTTTAGAGATCACTATGGGTCCATTCACAGCAGGTGCAGTGGGACTGCGTTGGCCGGCTATTCCAGTGCAGTCCCACTGCATGACCTAGCAGATTACCTTGTTTCAGGTGTTGATGGTCCACCCCTCAGCTTTGTGGTGGGGTACGCCAAAGAGAAGTACTGCGTGCAGGAATTTTTTTCCAGCACAGCACAGATCACCACACACTGGCTGATAGAACTCTTTGAAATATCAATGTGTGTTTAAGTTTGACTGGACAGTACCACACACAACAGCTGCTGTGTTGCAACGCAATGGCTAGTATGATTAGATGGAAAGGGGGGGGGGGGGGGGGGAGTAGGGGAGAGAAGGCTGTAGGGCTGAACATTGATATTGATGAAGTGATCACCCAACAAGCAGATGGTAGAGATATTGATCGATAAGGGGAATAGACGCAACCTTATAACAATCTGATAATGGCTCTATAGTCATGGATTAAATGCAGAAAAAATCATATATAAATTAAAAATTATATAACAATAACATAAATTAGGATGATGCAAAACCGTAAAGATACAGCTGGTAGATGTGAATAATACATGTACTAAGTAACACAGCTGGTAACGTATCTTAATATAGCAGAATGGAGAAAGTCCTTTAACACTTGTGGCTGCCTCTCACTGGATTGAAGCTTGTTCCAGAATGGTGCATGTAAAAAATAAGAGAGTGGAAAGGCGCCTCTAAGTGTAGACTTTAACACATATATTGCAGACTATGAAGAGCAACTTACAAGAGGGTAGAATAAAAGCAGGCACATCAAAAATCCGTCATGGGGAAGTCTGCCGCATTGAGCAACATAATATGTAGCTGTGGATGGCAATCGACCTTCTATCAGCGTCCAGGCAAGCCAGCAAGATGGAGGGGGCCTGGTTCTGAGGTCTGGAGCACTATGTATGCTCGATGATGTCACCGGGTGTTGTAGCGACGCGTTTTCTGAGCATGCGCTGTGAGATAGATGGGGTAATAGACATACAGGAACAAAAACCCCCCATGTGTGCCAGTATCCCCCAACCACCTCTAGAGCATCCACATATTGTCTCAAAAAAAAAAAAAAAAAACCCTTACCTTTTCAGTCTGTAGTGCTGTAATTTTATGTACGATGCAATGCAATATGGCAACCTGGTGGCATTCTGCACACCTACAACGTACGTTGCGCTCCACATGCGGTCCAGACCTCAGAACCAGGCCCCTTCCATGTTGCCGGCTTGCCTGAACGCTGACACTAAGTCAATTGCTGTCCACAGCCGCATTTTATATTGCCCACCGTGGCAGACTTCCCCATGACTGATTATTGGTGTGCCTGCTTTTATTGTACCCTCTTGTAAGTTGCTCTTCACTGTGTGCAATAAATGTGTTTTAAAGTCTACGCCTAGAGGCGCCTTTCCTCTTTCTTCTTTTTTAGAGATATTAATCTGCAGAAATCTTTTGTGTAGTTCAGAAAAGGAATATGTTGTTGGTCTGGTACTGACAGATTTGACGTCAAACTGGAAGGGATAACTGTGTGCTTTTCCTGTACTTCTCAATAAACTGCCTGTTCTACAATCTCTAGGAAGAGGAGCTTGTCCCACCGCGTCCTCCGCTCCCTCGGTCCTATGACTTTACCGATCCAGCTCCTATTCTTCCCCCTATACCCAGTGATAGCAGCTCGTCCTTGCTGTGTTACAGCCGGGGCCCAGTTCACCTCCCTGATGACAAGACCTCTCATCATATCCAGGTTAATCAAAGAAATGGATCCTATTGTGTAAGGAACTGAACTGGCACCATCCCTCTGTCATGTTCATCCCCTGTCATCCTTGTCCCCCATTTATGCAGTTCTGTGAGCTTCCAAATACATGTGTCCATTTCTTCAATGACTCTTTTTATGTAATAAAGGTATCACTCAGCAAGTCATGATTTCCATATTATTGATTGATGTTTTGCTGATTTCTTATTAGTTTGAGGTTAAAACCTGAATGAATGAATGAAAAACTGTACTCTGGTTCTCTGTGTTCATTTGTGTTTCCATTTTATATGCTGTGTTGGTTCCCCATGATTATGCTCTGAGGGGCAGCACGAAACTTGTTGGGGGTATGGGCTGGCTGGAGCCTGGGCTGAGGCTGCCATTCACTCTTTCACATGGGTTTGCTGTTTGATGTGCGGCTTATGGGCTTCTCCTTCTGACATGCTGTGTTTGGGTTTTGCTTGTACTTCTTCCCAGTAATGTCTGTTCATCCAAGAATGTAAACTATATGTTTGAGAATCTACTCCCCTCTGAATGCAAGCTTTTGATGCTTTTAGATAGTTGTTAAAGCCTGATACATTGTGTGAACAATTCTTTTATTGTCAAAGGATGAGCTGAGAGGGTATTATTTATGTTATGGCTGATTATATCAAATGTAAGAATTGTGTCCCCGTTGTGTTTTCCTTGCTGTGATGTTTTTCATGCTCCTAGATATTCATTCCACGTATTTTACTTCATGAAAGGAGGAGGCAGTACAGTGATGTTTATTGATGTGTCTGTACATCCTCCTCAGTGAGTGACAGTGAATGAGGTTCAGGAACAAAGGTTCCTTGTGGTGACATATTCACTACATTGTCCATAGTGACCTTATGGTGACATCCTCAGTACACAAATCCAGAGTATCATTGTGGTGGCATATTCTGTACTTTAACCAAAGTAACCTGATGGTTACATATTCAGTACATTACCTCATAGTGACCTTGTAGTGACATATTCAGTATATTATAAATTGTGATGTTGTAGTTACCGATTTCGTATGTTATCCATAATAAACTTAAAGTGACATATTCAGTACATTACCCCCATCCACTACCTTACCTATTCAGGACATTACCCCATAGTTACATAGTTAGTCTGGCTGAAAAAAGACAAAAGTCCATTCAGTTCAACCATATAAAAAAAAAAAAGTTATAATCCTATACCCACAGTTGATCCAGAGGAAGGCAAAAAAAAACAGAAAAGCATGATCCAATTTGCTCCTCCAGGGGGAAAAATTCCTTCCTGATCTCCCGAGTGGCAACCGGATATTCCCTGGATCAACTTCACCTATAGAAGTTAGTATCCAGTTATATTCTGTGTATCCAAGAAAGAATCCAGGCCTTTTTTAAAGCAATCCACTGAGCTGGCCAGAACCAACTCTTGAGGGAGTCTGTTCCACATTTTCACAGCTTTTACTGTGAAGAAACCTTTACATATTTGGAGATTACATTTCTTTTCCTCCAGATGTAAAGCGTGTCCTTTTGTCCTCTCTGATGACCGCAAGGTGAATAACTCTACACCGAGTTCACTATATCAACCACTGATGTATTTATACATGTTGATCATATCCCCCCTTAATCTCCTCTTCTCAAGAGAGAATAAATTCAGTTCCTCTAATCTTTCCTCATAGCTGAGCTCCTCCATGCCTCTTATCAGTTTGGTCGCTCTTCTCTGTACTTTCTCCAGTTCCCCAATGTTCTTTTTGTGAATTGGTGCCCAAAACTGAACTGCATATTCCAGATGAGGTCTTACTAATGATTTGTACCGGGGTAATATGATATCTGTCCCTCTGGAGTCTATACCTCTTTTAATACAAGAGAGGATTTTGCTCGCTTTAGAAACTGCAACTTGGCATTGCATACCATTATTAAGCTTGTGATCTACCAGAACCCCCAGATCCTTCTCCACCATTGATTCCCCCCAGTTGTACCCCCCCTAGTATGTATGATGCATGCATATTCTTACATTTATCAATATTAAACCTCATTTGCCACATAGTTGCCCAATTACACAGTGCATTGAGGTCAGCTTGTAAATTGGAGACATCCTGTAAGGGCGTTATTCCACTACACAGTTTGGTGTCATCTGCAAAGACTGAAATGGGATTTTTAATCCCAGAACCTATATAGTTTATAAATATATTAAAAAGTAAGGGCCCCAACACTGAACCTTGGGGTACACCATTGACAACCCTAGACCATTCAGACTATGAATGATTAACCACTGCTCTCTGAATACGATCTTTTAGCCAGTTTTTCTATCCATTTACATACAGATTTTTCCAAGCCGGTAGACTTTACCATACACATGAGCAGTGTGTGGGGAACTGTGTCAAACGCTTTTGCAAAATCCAAGTATACCAGTCCACAACCACGCCTCTGTCCATGGTTTTGCTCACCCCCTCATAAAAAGAAAACAGATTTGTCTGACAACTTCTGTCTTTCATGAATCCATGCTGTCTGTTGCTTAAAATATTTTTTTCCAGCAAGAACTCATCTATATGGTATTTTATTAAACTCCCCAGTATCTTCCCAACTATAGAAATTGAACTAACACGTCTATAATTACTTGGTAAAGATTTGGACCCCTTTTTAAATATATGCACCACATGGGCCTTATGCCAGTCCTGTGGTACTATGCCAGTTATTAAAGAGTCCCTAAAAAATTAGAAACAATGGCTTTGAAATGACAGAGCTCAATTCTTTAAGAACCCATGGGTGTATGCCATCCGGTCCATGTGCTTTATTCTCCTTTTATGCTGTCTAAATATTTTTGAATCATATCAATTGTGAGCCAATGTGGATCATCTGGAGCTGTGTCAATACTATGCCCATTATGGACAAGAGCTCCCCCATGCTCCTTTGTATACACATAGCTGAAGAAGGTATTTAATAAATTTGCCTTCTCTTTGTCCCCAGTCAACCTGGATTTTTTTGTAAAGGTCCTACATGCTTGGATCTGACCTTTTTACGATTAATATATTTGAAGACTTTTTTGGGGTTTGTCCTGCTATCTTTTGCAATCTGTTGTACGTTTTCAATTTTTGTGGCCTTTATTTCCTTTTTGCATATTTTGTTATATTCTTTGTAATGTTTAAACGATGATAGCATTCCTTCATTTTTATATTTAATAAAAACTCTTTTCTTATTATCTATAGCTTTTTTAACTTTTGGCCTTAAGCCACATTGGTTTGATTTTTAGCCTTTTAAACTTGTTGCCCATGGGAATATATTTTGCAGTGTGTTCACATACAGTCTTTTTGAAGAACTCCCATTTCTGTATTGTGTTCATTGATGCCAATATTCCCTCCCAGTCTAAGTCTTGGAGAGCAGCTCTCAGCCTTGGAAAATTAGCGCTTTTAAAATTGAGCGTTTTTATTTTTTTCCCATATGTGCATGTTTACAGCTAACAAATGAAATCATGTTATGGTCACTGCTACCCAGATGTTCTTTTATATGGACATTCGTAATAAGCTCTACATGGTTTGAGATTACTAGGTCCAGCAGAGCATCATTCCTAGTTGGGGCCTCTATGAACTGTACCATAAAATTGTCCTGTAGTAGATTTATAAATGTTTGCCCTTTAACTGTTCCAGCAGTACCATTACCCCAGTCAGTTTCTGGGTAGTTAAAATCCCCCATTATTATCACTGTCCCAGTCCTTGCAGCCCTTTCAATCTGTGCAGGGAGCTGAGTCTCCACCTCCTCATTAACACTGGGGTGCCTATAACAAACTCCAATGATTACCTTTGTAGTGCGCACCCCCATGTACATTTCCACCCATAATGCTTCAGACTCATCACACTCCCATCAACTAGGTCCTCTTTCACACTCACTCTGAGATCACTTATCACATGGAGACAGACACCACCACCTTTCCTTTTTACTCTGTCTCTCCAAAAGAGAACATAGCCAGGAATATTAATGGCCCAGTCAAGAATGAAGCCAAGATTCAGCAAAACCAATTAACTCATAGTTCTCTTCATTCAACAAATCTTCCAACTCGCCTATTTTGCTTGGCAGACTTTTGGCATTGTTGAGCAAACACTTTAATGCATAGACACCATGTGCACACGTATTTTGCATATTTTTTATTTTCATACAAATAGTACCAATATCATCTGCCATAGCCCTCCCCCCATCTTTCCCATTTCACCCACCAATAAGAACTGACCCCTGTTTGATCTGTCTACCACATTAAAATTTAATTCTCCCTCCCCCCATCGATCCTAGTTTAAATACTCCTCCAGCCTCCCCATAAACCTCTCCCCCAGCACAGCAGACCGCTTCCATTTAGGTGCAAACCATCTCTAGCATATAGGTTGCATCCCAATGAAAAGTCAGCCCAGTGCTCTAGAAACCTAAATTCTTCCCTCTTACACCAGGCCTTTAGCCATGCATTGACTTCTCTAATCTCCCCATGTCTTTCCTGAGTTGCGCATGGCACAGGTAATATTTCAGAGAATATCACCTTGGAGCTCCTTCCCTTCAACTTGCAGCCTAGTTCTTTAAATTGATTCTTAAGGAGCATCCACCTTCCATGTATTCTGTCATTGGTTTCAACATGGACCAAGACAGCTGAGTCATGCCCAGCCCCTCCCAGTAATTTATCAACCTGGTCCACCACATGCCAAACCCTGGCACCAGGGAGACCGCAAACCATTTGGTTGAGGCGATTCTGGTGACAATTATTCTATCAGTCCTTCTGATTATAGAATCCTCTACTACCACCAGCTGTCTAGGCCTTCCTGCACTATTTTCACCACCCCTCCCAGATGGTCTGCCCCCTCCCAGCTGTTAGAAATAGCAGTGACCTCCAGGGATGCCACCCCTGAGCTTGCCACCCCCACTTCTTCACCCAACTTGTCTAATCTGTTTGGGTGCACAAACCCAGGGCCGGCCTTCCTTTTTTGTGAGCCCCTACCGCTCCCTCTCGCTACAGTAACCCATCTTCCTACCTGATAATCCTGATTAGCCCCTCCACACCAATCCCATTAGCTACCTGCTCAGGTAGCAGAAGACCCCTTTCAAGGTTGTCGGTTCTGTCCAGTGTTGCAACCTGCTCCTCCAGATCTCTAAAGCGAGCTTCCAGAAGGGCAATCCGCTCACATCTGTCGCAGCGGTATCCATCCTAGAGCTGTTCCTCTATTGTTGCATACATGCGGCACACTGTGCACTGCACGGAATTTTCAACCTTGCTAGCACACATTATCCCAGTTACAATGTTAATATTTCTAATCAAAAATATCAGTTGTCACTTACAGGTTAGTAGACTCCTGTTATAATCTCCTGTTTTCAACTCCGGTTTTTTAACTCCACTTATCAAATGTCCACTTGGTCAAAGGTCCAGCAAGCAAAATACAGGCAAGCTCAGAGTGAGCTCTGCAGCAAGTTATATAGTACCTGGAGCACCTGTGACCAATTAACCCCTCCCTTTAATTAGCAGATTGAAGAAAAGGAAGAAAAAAAAAAATGCTATTGAAAAAGTGACAGAAAAAGCGATTTTAAAAAGTAAAAGCTTTTAGCAAGAGCCAAATAAGAAAAAAGAACAAAGTAAATGATGTAGCGCTAACTATTTAAATAAAGTGCATAAGTCAATATCACAAATATACAGTCAGGTCCATAAATATTGGGACATCGACACAATTCTAACATTTTTGGCTCTATACACCACCACAATGGATTTGAAATGAAACAAACAAGATGTGCTTTAACTGCAGACTGTCAGCTTTAATTTGAGGGTATTTACATCCAAATCAGGTGAACGGTGTAGGAATTACAACAGTTTTCATATGTGCTTCCCACTTGTTAAGGGAACAAAAGTAATGGGACAATTGGTTTCTCAGCTGTTCCATGGCCAGGTGTGTGTTATTCCCTCATTATCCAAATTACAATGAGCAGATAAAAGGTCCAGAGTTCATTTCAAGTGTGCTATTTGCATTTGGAATCTGTTGCTGTCAACTCTCAAGATGAGATCCAAAGAGCTGTCACTATCAGTAAAACAAGCCATCATTAGGCTAAAAAAACAAAAAACAAACCCATCAGAGAGATAGCAAAAACATTAGGCGTGGCCAAAACAACTGTTTGGAACATTCTTAAAAAAAAGGAACGGTGAGCTCAGCAACACCAAAAGACCCGAAAGACCACGGAAAACAACTGTGGTGGATGACCGAAGAATTCTTTCCCTGGTGAAGAAAACACCCTTCACAACAGTTGGCCAGATCAAGAACACTCTCCAGGAGGTAGGTGTATGTGTGTCAAAGTCAACAATCAAGAGAAGACTTCACCAGAGTGAATACAGAGGGTTCACCACAAGATGTAAACCATTGGTGAGCCTCAAAAACAGGAAGGCCAGATTAGAGTTTGCCAAACAACATCTAAAAAAGCCTTCACAGTTCTGGAACAACATCCTATGGACAGATGAGACCAAGATCAACTTGTACCAGAGTGATGGGAAGAGAAGAGTATGGAGAAGGAAATGAACTGCTCATGATCCTAAGCATACCACCTCATCAGTGAAGCGTGGTGGTAGTGTCATGGCGTGGGCAGGTATGGCTGCCAATGGAACTGGTTCTGTTGTATTTATTGATGATGTGACTGCTGACAAAAGCAGCAGGATGAATTCTGAAGTGTTTCGGGCAATATTATCTGCTCATATTCCGCCAAATGCTTCACAACTCATTGGACGACGCTTCACAGTGCAGATGGACAATGACCCAAAGCATACTGCAAAAGGAACCAAAGAGTTTTTTAAGGGAAAGAAGTGGAATGTTATGCAATGGCCAAGTCAATCACCTGACCTGAATCCGATTGAGCATGCATTTCACTTGCTGAAGACAAAACTGAAGGGAAAATGCCCCAAGAACAAGCAGGAACTGAAGACAGTTGCAGTAGAGGCCTGGCAGAGCATCACCAGGGATGAAACTCAGCGTCTGGTGATGTCTATGCGTTCCAGACTGTAATTGACTGCAAAGGATTTGCAACCAAGTATTAAAAAGTGAAAGTTTGATTTATGATTATTATTCTGTCCCATTACTTTTGTTCCCTTAACAAGTGGGAGGCACATATGCAAACTGTTGTAATTCCTACACCGTTCACCTGATTTGGATGTAAATACCCTCAAATTAAAGCTGACAGTCTGCAGTTAAAGCACATCTTGTTCGTTTCATTTCAAATCCATTGTGGTGGTGTATAGAGCCAAAAATGTTAGAATTGTGTCGATGTCCCAATATTTATGGACCTGACTATGTGGAAGTTATAAAATTGAAAAAATATATGAAACATAAATATCAATAAATAATAAAAAAAAAAGGCAAAATACACAACGTGACTGAAATCTCATAGACTCTTAACTGTGTACTGTGATATAAAAAATGGACCCTGATCCTCCAGGGATCGTATTAGTGAAAAAGATGATATCGTGAATAACCATCAACAAAGTGGTGCAGTAAAGTGTCTACAATACTCAGACAAAATTTGTGTGTGAATTGATCCTAATTTGGATCCAAAGGTGATAGTGAACATCCAAATATTCCAAATGGGACTAGTGCATCTAATGTACCCAAAATGGGACTAAACAGAAATAACGCATGTAAATGCATTTAAAAATTCCCTCAAAAAACAAAAATCAAAAGAAACTCCTCAAATCAAATATCTATACACAAAACAGTGTCAACAAAAACGCACACGTGGCCACATGCATGATAGTGCATATAAACTGTCACAGGAAATGAATACACAGAAAAAAATCTCTCCAAAATGCATAACGCTAAAAATGCGTATAAATGAAAATAAACTAATAAATGTCCAAAATGATGTAATAACACCACGTAATCCAATAAGACAAACACCCGTGAATGTGGGTGGTAGATGTGTGTGACGACAAGAAGGTATCCACAAATGGCTGTAATACACGCTCACCTCCTTGCCTCGACCCGCAAAGGGCCAAAACACCTTTAGGATCACTACACTGGATCCTCCATGTGTGAGACTCCTCTGGAACCGCGTCACTCTCCCTGTAGTGGTCTCCCTCTCAAGGATAAGCTTAATGATGGCAAACCTACTCTCCAGGCAGATAGTTAAGATGTGGCTAATTATCTCATTAGAAAACACAAGGAAGAACTCCCATAGCATAATACTATTTATTGTATAAAGAAGTAAAGCAAAATCCTCCAAAATATATACTCACGTTTCAATACATCTTAGTAAGATGAAGTCACGTGGTTTGGACGCCATCTTTGTACACCCATGCAACTACACTCAGAACATGAGGTTATGTATACTAATGCTCTTACCAAGATGTATTGAAATGTGAGTGTATATTTTGGAGGATTTTGCTTTACTTCTTCATACAATAAATAGTATTACGCTATGGGAGTTCTTGCTTGTGTTTTCTAATGAGATAATTGGCCACATCTTAGCTATCTGTCTGGAGAGGAGGTTTGTCATCATTAAGCTAGTGACCTTGTAGTGACATGTTCAACACATATCCGCATAGTGACATTGCGGTAACATATTCAGTACATTGTATATAGTGACTTTGTGGTGACATGTATGGTATATTTCTCGTTCAGTGACCTTGTGCAGATGTATTTAGTATATTATATGCAGTGACCTTGTAGTGACATATATATATGAACTTGTGGTGACAATCCGTACATAATCAATAGGGACATATCTGTTAAATGATGTTCTTGTGATTTGTAAGTAAATTTAAACTAAAACCCACTGAATATGATTGATATCAATTTTTCCTAATAAAGCTGGGTGCAGTTGAATCCATGACATTGCCTCTCAGTAAATATGAGTGGATCTTTTTGGACAGACAAAGACGATAGTATATGCAGTAGGTCTGTGTGGTATAATTATGATGAACGGCTTTGATAGATGCATTTTATGCTTTATATACAGCACTATTAGTCACAAACAACCCCTAGATAAAGTGCCACACATTCTTATGTGTACACATAACAGAAAAACCTCCCATACTGCGATGCATGGAAAATACAATCCCCTTTATACAAAAAAAACTGAATGTACACAAATAAAAGTGTTTCCATCTTCCAATATACTTCATATCATCCCTTAATTAATTTATAATAATGTCAATGTTTGTGTCTTTCTTTAATTCATACTTCCCCCAATGTGATGAAACTTGCCAGAAATTGAAGTTTTTTGCCAGAAATTGAAGCGTTATGTGCGCACATAAGAATATGTGGTAATATATCTAGTGGTTGTTTTTAAACCACTAGTACTGCTGTATATACAGTAGAGTTCAATATGAGAACAGGTGGATATCATTTACAGCAGCTGTAGTTTTGATAGTTGTAAGTGTGCAAGTATAACAATAATTCTTGTAGATCCATATTGTAGACTCTGTACCACTTAAGCTTACCATACGCTGTGTGAATTTCGGTAGGTTCCTGATGAACCAGACTAAATTCACTCTATGGGTGGCCCTGCCGGCATATTCCTGGCCAGTTTAAGGATAAACATAGAACATGTAGCCCATGAAGATGTCTTTCTGTGAGCTATGATGACCTGGATCTGTGTTGTTATGAGTGATGAAAGTTTGCAAATACTTTTTATTATCATCATCATTTTCATCATCTTGGTTCTGCCTCCATATTGCTATGTAGTGGCCTATCTGGGGTTGTCTTCTGTAACAAAGCAGAACTAGGCTAATATAACAGTTACTGGTGTCTTGCAGGGACCGGATTACAGACTGTACAAGAGTGAACCTGAGCTGACCACGGTGGCTGAAGTGGATGAGTCAAATGGTGATGACAAGACGGACTTCACTCTGGACATGGAAAATACAACTAACAAAGGTATGCGGTCAAAATGCTCCTGGTCTGATATACAATAGTATATGTATATTGCACTGAGAAAACAAACAGGGCATTGTCATACCAAGTATAGATATATAGTTGCACAATAAAACATTACTTTTGACAATAATGATGACTTGTTGTTACATTTAGGTTCACACTTTCCAATCGGTGTTGTTCCTCCAAGAACAAAATCTCCTCCACTTGAATCCACTACAATAGCATCTTATGTCACCTTACGAAAGACTAAGAAACCAGAGGCAAAATCGGTAAGTGAACCTCACTGTGTTGGTTACACTAAGCAGAAAACCTCACTGAATGTTCCCCGGTGGAGGTCTTTGGATCCCGTCCCTTGTCTTTAGGCCAGGTATTCCTCCAATGACTCGTGTCAGTGATTCTGCACATACCACTTTACACCAATTCAATGGACACCCTGTGAGAATAAGGGTTACCGAAAGGTACATCTGATGCTTTGTTGTAGTTTTCATGACATGACCCATTGTTACTGTTGCCCTGTGGTGTCTCTCACGAAATGTCCTTTCTGTATAGGGATGTGTATACTACTTTCAGTGCGAATACACCTGGGTTTTACTCTCTTTTGTGTTTCTACTGAAGTTACTGACCGCCTTATTTTCAATTGCTCCAGCACTCAGTAGTCAACTAGCCTTTGTCTCTGAGCTCCTTTACCCTGTCCTTCCTACAATCTACTCCTGTAATCCGGACAAAGGTGGAAAACTGTACCTAGGGACTAGTCACTGTTCATAACCTGCTCCATTCCCATTCCCTACTATAGTATTAGCGGCAAAATATTATTGGACTGATCCCTGGCTATTAACAAAGGACAACAGTTAAGAAGACTTTCCCTCTTCATTGTCACTGATGTCATGTGCGTGTGTAGTGGTGTGGTATGCTGATTCCTTGCAAGGAAAGGTAGAACCCAAAATAGCAATCATTGCACCTACAGTGGATATAAAATGTCTACACACCCCAGTTAAAATGTCAGGTTTCTGTGATGTAAAAAAATTAGACAAAGATAAATAATTTCAGAACTATTCCACCTTTAATGTGACCTATAAACTGTACAACTGAATTCTTTTCGGGTGGGAGGGAGTAAACTTAAAAAAATAAAATAATGTGGTTGCATAAGTGTGCACACCCTCTTATAACTGGGGATGTAGCTATGTTCAGAATTAAGCAATCACATTCAAAATCATATTAAATAGGAGTCAGTACACGCCTGCCATCATTTAAAGTGCCTCTGATTAACCCCAAATAAAGTTCTGCTGTTCTAGTAGGTCTTTCCTGACATTTTCTTAGTCGCATCCTACAGCAAAAGCCATGGTCTGCAGAGAGCTTCCAAACATCAGAGGGATCTCATTATTAAAAGGTATCAGGAGAAGACTACAAAAGAATTTCCAAGGCATTAGATATACTATGGAACACAGTGAAGACCATAATCATCAAGTGGAGAAAATATGGCGCAACAGTGACATTACCAAGAATTGGACGTCCCTGCAAAATTGATGAAAAGACAAGAAGAAAACTGGTCTGGGAGGCTACCAAGTGGCCTACAGCAACATTAAAGGAGCTGCAGGAATATCTGGCAAGTACTGGCTGTGTGGTATATGTGACAACAATCTCCCGTATTCTTCATATATCTGGGCTATGGGGTAGAGTGGCAAGACAGAAGCCTTTTCTTACGAAGTAAAACATCCAAGCCCAAATAAATTTTACAAAAACACATCTGAAGTCTCCCAAAAGCAAGTGGGAAAATGTGTCCTGGTTTGACGAAACCAAGGTTCAACTTTTTGGCCATAATTCCAAAAGATATGTTTGGTGCAAAAACAACGCTGCACATCACCAAAAGAACACCATACCCACAGTGAAGCATGGTGGTGGCAGCATCATGCTTTGGGGCTGTTTTTCTTCAGCTGGAACTGGGGCCTTAGTCAAGGTAGAGGGAATTATAAACAGTTCCAAATACCAGTTAATATTGGCACAAAACCTTCAGGCTTCTGCTAGAAAGCCAACATGAAGAGAAACATCTTTCAGCATGACAAGCAACCCAAAGTATACATCCAAATCAACAAAGGAGTGGCATCACCAGAAGAAGATGAAAGTTTTGGAATGGCCCAGCCAGAGCCCAGACCTGAATCCGATCGAAAATCTGTGGAGTGATCTGAAGAGGACTGTGCACAGGAGATGCCCTCGCAATCTGACAGATCTGGAGTGTTTTGCAAGGAAGAGTGGACAAATATTGCCAAGTCAAGATGTGTTATGCTGATAGACTCATACCCAAAAACACTGAGTGCTGTAATAAAATCAACCGGTGCTTCAACAAAGTATTAGTTTAAGGGTGTGCACACTTATGCAACCATATTATTTTAGTTTTTTATTTTTACTTCCCCTCACCTAAAAGATTACAAATTTGTTGTTCAACTTATTTGTACAGTTTATAGGTCACATTAAAGGTGGAAAAAGTTCTAAAATTATTTTATCTTTATCTAATTGTTTTACATCACAGAAACATGTCATTTTAACAGGGGTGTGTAGACTTTTTATGTCCACTGTACCTGCTGCTCTCAGTGAGTGAAATGATCCCTTCCTCCTAGATTGTAAGCTCTAACGAGCAGGGCCCTCTGTTTCCTCTTGTACCAAATTGTATTGTAACTGTAATGTCTACCTTCATTTTGTAAAGTGCTGCACAAACTGTTGACGCAATATATATCCCGTATAATAATAATGATGATACTAGGCCCACTAACAGCTCTGGGGGCCCTAAACTGAAAAGTGTTGCCATATTTGACGTGTGAAGTCTGTTCCCCTATATTGTTGCCTTTTATCTTTACATTTCTTTTCTGTTCTGCAGGAGAGGCCACGTAGTGCCGTGGAACATCTTTGTGTTATGGAAACCCCCCGACCCCGGATGACACTGGAGGAACAGCTGGAGAGGATGCGCAGACATCAGGCCGCTTGTTTGAAAGAAAAGAAAAAAGGGTTTGCCTTTCTAGGGTCCACTGAGCCCTCTCCTTCACAGAGTCCTGCCTTCTCCAGGGAAAACTCTATAAAACTGACCCAGGTACTGAGTTTAATTGCATATAGAAATGGAAAATTGTGTCTACTGGACAAACAGCCGACATACAATAATGTATGTCGTACTGAATGGCTGATTATTGGAGTCATAAATCTTACACTTTAAAAAAAAGATCTCTGTCCAAATACACTAAATGATTATCCACGTGTAGGTGCGGAGAAAAGAGGAGAACACAGTTAGTGATCTTAAGGACAAACAGGAAGCTGAGCGAGAGGACAGCACACAATCACTACATCCAGAAATCATCAAAGCAGCAGCTGGAGCTGAAGAGCCTCCTGCGATCAGTGAGAACGAGGTGAGTGGAACTAATCCTCTTGTGATAAGGAGGTTGGTAGATCTCAGGTGATTGATGAAAAGGAGGTGGGTGGAGTGAATAGCTTGCCGTGGTCAGTTATAAGGAGGTGGGTGGAGATTAGGAGCAGTGATAGGAAGGTAGGTTAAGTGGAGGAGCTGCCTGTGATTGCCAATTAGGAGGTGGGTGGAACTAAGGAGCCTTCTGTGATTAGTGAAAATGAGGTAGGTGATGCTGAAAAGCTCTCTTTGATCAATGATCAGGAGGTGGGCGAAACTGAAGAGCCTTCTGTGATCAGTGAGAAGGAAGTAGGTGGAACTGAAGAGCCTTCTTTGATTAATGAGAAGGAAGTAGGTGGAACTGAAGAGCCTTCTATGATTAGTGAGAAGGAAATAGGTGGAACTGAAGAGCCTTCTATGATTAGTGAGAAGGTGGATGGAACAGAGGAGCATTCTGTAATAAGTGAAAAGGAAGTGGGTGGAGGTGAATTTCCTTCTGTGTTCAGTTATAAGGCGGTGGGCGGAACTGAAGAACCATCTGTGAGACCGAAGGAGGTAGGTAGAACATTCTGTGATAAGTGAGGAGGTGGTAGCTTAGGAGCCTTCTGTGAACAGTAAGGAGGTGGGTGGAGCGGAGGAGCTTCCTGTGGTTAATAAGGATGTGGGTAGGGCTGAATAGCCACCTGTGATCAGTTATAAGGAGGTGGGTGGAACTGAGAAGCCTTCTGTGATTAATGAGAAGTATGTGGGTGGAGGTGAATAGTTGCCTTTGATCAGTTTTTAAAGAGGTGGGTGGAAGCTTTCGTGATCAGTGAAAAGCAATTAGGTGGAACTGAGGAGCCTTCTGTGATTGGTTAGAAGGAGTTGGGTGGCGCTGACAAGCCCCTGTGAGCAGTGATAAGGAGGTGAGTGAAAGTGAAGAGCTTCCTGTGATAAGGAGATGGGTGGAGCTGAGAAAACTCTTGTGATAAGAGGGTAGATGTAGCTGAGGAGCCTCTAGTGATCAATGATGAGGTGGATGGAGCTTAATAGCCTTCTATTATCAATGCAAAAAAGATGGATGGAGCTGAATAGCTTTCTGTGATCAAGTATAAGGTGGTGGGTGGAACTGAATAGCTTTCTGTAACTAGTTATGAGGTGGGTGGAGCTGAGGAGCCTCCTGTAAGTCAAAAGGAGGTGGGTTGTGCCGAGGAGCCTTATGTGGGTGAAGCTGAGGAGCCTCATGTGATTAGTGAGAAGGAGGTGGGTGCAGTTAAGTAGGCTTCTATGATCAGTTATAAGGAGGTGAGTATAGCTGAGGAGTCTTCTGTGATCAGTGAAGAGGTGGGCAGAGCTAAGAAGCTTTTCTTGAGCAGTGATATGGAGGTGGGTGAAGTGGAGAGCCTTCTGGGATCAGTGATAAGGAGGTGGGTGGAACAGAGGAGCCCTCTGTGAGTAAACAGTTGGGTGGAGCAGAATAATCTTTGATTTAAAAAGATCCCAAACTTGGTATAAGTGATAATCCTCTGTCGTTTTTCATACATATATTTGACATTCCTCCTGTGCTACTCCATCAGCAGCCTTCACGTTCCTCTACTGCTTCCTCTCCATCTGACGCCAAAGAAGAAGTGACAGAAGAAGCAGCCAATGCAGATTCAGTACCTGAGCCCCAGGAACAATGGTTAGTGAGACCTGATCCCCAGAGCAGCACTTCCACTGACCAGACCAGTCTCTATGAAAGACTGTGTGTATTTATGTACGTGTGTGTGTGTGTGTGTGTGTGTGTGTGTGTGTGTGTGTGTGTGTTGAGAGCAGGACATGATGGGCTTTGTAGATTTCAGCAGTTGGATTGTGATTGATGGCCACCACCTACTTCTAGTCGAAATATCATCAAAATAGATGTAGACCTCTCCCACCACCAGTCCATATATCTGAGTTGAATAGACTCTTCCCATGCCTCCCCAGATCTGTAACGTGTTCTGTGCCGTCCTTCCAGTTTACAGGTTGTGACATCTGTCCTGACATATACAGAGAGTGAGGAGAAGCCAAGGGACCAGGAGCACAGTGGGATTCTCTTTGCCTATGAGTTTTCGGCTGACACCCTGAGAAGACATACAGCCCTAGAGGGTGAGATATGAGCATGGGATTGTCTGAATCCTTGGGTGTCTGTGTGCTTGGCTGAATCCCAGAGTGTGTGTGTGCTTGGCTGGGTTCTGTGACACTCCCACTGCTATTTTCTAAACACTGCATTACCCAGAATGTAATACTACATCTTTATGCATTTAAAACGGAACTAAAACCATCAATTTAACTGTTTTCCAAAACCGTTTCATTCAGGACATGCCAGGAATGATAACTGTTACAGTTCCATGTTCTGTCAGCCAAACTGTCAGGCCATCAAATGGCTGGTGTCATAATTGATCACATGTGCAGCATCATGGCAACTGCAGATCAAACTGAGGCCAAGATGGCAGCTTCCTTGCTTGTAAAGGATAGGAGAGTTTAATTCCGCTTTAACAAATGAAATGCGAGTATCCCAGTTTCCATACATAGATCTCCTGTAAAACAGAGGCAGATGTTGCCCCTAGGTGGTGGAGAAGCAAAAGGCAGTTAGTAATGTCATCTTGTTTTTGTTTCCTAGCTGGGAACCTGACTCCCCTATCAGAGCCAACACTACCGGTGACAGCAAAGCAGCCACAGCTGACCGAAGGATCCCATTTCATGTGTGTTTAGCTGTGGGATGATACAAGTTACAAGCATGTAAGATGACCAGTATTTATATAATGTTTCCATGTTTTTCCTGTGGTAGCAACTGTGTTTAGAATCATGTTTATAGCATATGTTAAGCTTGTGTTTTAGACCTACGCTATATTGGCAAAAGTATGTAAACCTCCACCAAATGAGTTAGTTGTTTCCAGTGAAGGGTACTGTTAATAGTACAGCATACAAAGACATTTTAAAGAATTGTGCACTTTAATATTGTGACAACAGTTTGGAGAAAGTGCCCCGCAATCTAGGTCTTCTCATCCAGCATCTGTATCTGACCTCACAAATTGGCACAGATTTCCACAAATACTTTCCAAAATCTTGTGGAAAGCCTTTCCAGAATCGGTGAGTCTTTTATAGTCACAAAATGGGGGCAGCTCCATATCAGTGCTTTTAGAATGGGATGTCCAACACGTTCGTGGTGTGATGGTCAGGGGTACTCACACTTTTGTCCATATAGTGTAACTTGGATGCATCACAAACAGCCTTAGTATGTACATAAATGGGAAGGTATTGCATGAGAAAATCTGCAGGTAGGTACCTTTTTTGCTAATACACTTGATTGTAAGAAAATGACCAATTGTCAACTGTTAGATATTGTGCCTGCACTGGAAAATATGCCCAAGCATGGAAGAGCCCAAATGTTCTGTGTAATTCTTGATCTCATGCTGTGTTTTATCTTTCAGTCCAGACGCTGCGATTGCTGAGGACGTTGTGTGAATTTTTACTGTACAGTTTTTAACCAAAATTGAAATGGCGCTGCCGTGTGACTTTAGATTCCCGCTTGCTGCTACTTTGTTTTCTTGCACATGAAGGTTTAAGAGCCAAAATGTGAGACTTTCCTGCTGGGTGACGGAGGAGGTTTCCTTTCATCATGAACACTTTATCTGCTCTGCTTCCGTTCATCGCCACACGTCCGACTTTCATCTTCTCCACCAGACTTATAAGAGACTACAGTATATAATTTTACACTTAATTTGTAAAAATCTCTATATATTTATATTTTAATATGTGCCATTTTCTGATCTTTGGGTTTACTTCATTCACACCGCTGTGTTTGCAGTCACTGCCACTTCATGGGATCTGCAATTCTTCCAGGAGGGAATCTGTGCAGCAATAAAAAGGCTCTTCTACTGGTACAGAGTGTATAAATGTAATTATTATCATTATACAATCCACCACACATGATGTAAGTAGGTCCAAATACCAATGTTCATAGCTCATTCCTTTTATAACATGCCAAATAAATGTTGATGTTGTTTAATACCTGATTACAGAATTTTTATTATCATAGATGTATCAAAAATTTAATATTTTTACTTGCAGCTTCAAATCTTTTTGATGTGGGATTTTACCCAGAATTTTTGGAATGTTCTGATGTGCACCCTAAGGCTCCGTGCACACTGTTTTTTTAAGCATTATTAGCATTTTCTTTTTCTGCTCCTAGAAGATAAAAAGTGTTATCCTGTGTGTCCATGCACACTACTTTAAGTTATTAGCAGCAGAGTTTTTTTCCAGCAGAAAAAAAAACGCTAGTAAAAAGCTGCTAACAGCCTTTTTTTCTAGCTTTTTTTCCCCTCTACATGTACTGTAAAAATGCTAATAAAACATTACTGCTCCTAAACGCTACTAAAATGCTACTACCAGCTTTTTTTATCCAGCGTTTTTTTTTCAGCATGTTCTGCAAGCTTAAATAAACAGCTAGTGTGCATGGAGCCTAATGTAGTGCAAAACAAGGTTTGTTGCAGTTCGCTGTAGTGAAAATAGGTAGAGGTGCAATTTTTTGGTGGTGTTTACCTGCTTTGGAAGGGCCAGCAAACACGAATCAGAAGTTTCTTATCCACCTCAATGGTGCCATGTGGATGACAGTTCTGAGCCTTGTGTTGCATTTCTCTGAATACAAGCTGGTTCTATTGGAAAATAGTTTCTGTTGCAGGCATAGCAGGTCAAGTGTAACCTTTTAAGACTGAATACATGTACTTGTATTGCACTGTGTTTCAGTGTAAAACCTGCAATTGACAAACACCCATCTACACAAGCCCTAAAAATGAGCAGACAATGCTAACACAGCATGCCTCAAGGCATGATAAAGTACAGCACAGCATAGTGTGAATGGGCCCGGAATGGCAGCTGACACTAAACTTTCTGCAGCCAGTGGAAATATCCTAGGATCTTAGGTTGGTCTGACTGGCCCTTCTGCATATGTTCTCAGTATGAACATTGTAAAATGCCCACACTCTATTCACTCTAAGTACCCTGTGGACAAAAAGGTAGTAGCCCAAAACAAAACTTTGGTATTTAGTAGCCCACCATTCCACCAATTTAGGCCCTTTTCCTTTGTTTTTACAGGTGATTCAGTCAATAATATGCTTCTTGGCTTGGGATGGACAGGAGTATTGTCAATCTGGGCAGAGGGTAGCGTTAGATTGAATTGAGTAACAAATTAAAGAATTTCAGCTAACACTTTTTAAGCAGTTACAGCAACAGATGGTTTTCCTTTTTGGATAAAGGATTTACATAAATGAGTAAAATCTGACTATTGTAATCACGTCTGTCGGTGGTAAATGGTTTGTCTCAACCCTCTAAGTGCCACTTTTGCTGGATAGCTTGGTCTGTTAAAGGAAGTTGGAAACTAACAGACTACTTGAATCACCACATGAAGAAAGCCTAAATAAAGGAAACTAATGCAGCCACCATATCTAAGAATCTTACATATTTTGTTTTAGTGTTTAAAGTGTTTGGATGGATCATAATGATGCTCTATGCCAGCGCTGCCCAGTCAGCATTAATCTGATCTGTACTGGAAGAAGAAAGAGAAGGGATTTCATATTCCCAGACTGCTGCACCAGCTCAGCACCCATTGAGGTAAGTACAGTGAGGATGAGGAGGGTGTATGGTGTTAGTTCACCTTTCAGTTTAAGGCTTTGTTCTCCCTGGCAGGTATGGCTATGTGACCAGCTATTGCAACCATGTCTGTTTGTCAGACCTTAGCAGTCTGGACCTAAAACATGGCTTGGCTAGGAATCTCAAAACATTTAGATAGATCCATCTGTCCTACAACATCTGAAGCAGTTATCTGTAGCCATGTGCTAATGCATAGATGGATTAGCAGATACACTTTGCCAAATATCCAGAAAGAGCCTCCTGTCCTATCCAAAGTGTTTGTGGAACTTCCTTGCAAATAGCGCCACATGGGAATGCTCCTTGATGGGCAATGTCAGAAAAAGAACGCCCAAACCTCTGCCTTTGGTTCAGGGGCCAAAAAGAGCTCTTATTTCATTTTGTGTCCAGGCCAGGAACCCAGTTCCACTGTGAGGCCTGGGCAGGGGCCCCACTTATCACTTTTATAGTTATCTTGTTCCAGGACATTTAAGGCACCTGGGTCTAGAACATCGTGTCCAGGGCTACAAGCTAGAGTTTTGGTCTCTGGCTTCACCCCATTCCATGCTGTTGAATATGCCAGCCTCCCCAAAAGGCAGACAGATCTCTACTGTGATCCCAGCAGTTCCTCTTTCAAAGGGAAATAGTTCCTGTTACAGAGCAGAAAATGTTTCAGGGTTTCTACCTTTTCACTGTCACATAGCAGATCGAGGCATTCACCCTATTCTGGATCTGCAAATTCTCAAGTTTCCTTCAGCAGCAATTGCTCCTCTTTAACCAGGACATCTTCTGGCCTGCATGGACATCAAGGATGCCTACCTTCACATCCCTATATCTTAACTGTACAGCACAGAACCCCGGCAACTTATTCATATACCATGGGTTTTAGGCTCATACCTTCAGGTGATTAGATGCTGACGAGCTTTTGAGGACACACCCCTCTGGGGTACCTTCCATATAACCCAACACCATTCCATTTATCCTTGTTTTTTTGCTAGTGTCTGAAGGTGATGGACCTCTTCTCCTTCACAGAGAAATCTGCTTCAATAGTTTATTATTTTTCTTTATTATTTTATCTTCAAATTCTTTAGTCAACCGTCACTGTCTTCTAATGCCTACACAGAAGCAGCGTGTCTGGATTGGTGCAACTTCAGTAAAACCTTGGGAGCCATAGTTGGCTCTAATGCTGCTCTGGATGGACACTTACCTTGGCATTTAGTGCAGTGTATTGAGTTTACCACAGTGTACCATACAGGTCCAGAGCTGTAGTCCATCGCTTTGGAACCCAGTCCCTGGAGACTCCTTCAGGGGTATGCCCACCATGACCAGTGAAGCCTGGACTTTAAATATTGTCCAGTGTCACGAACAGGTAAAACAGGGTCATCCTATATCCCTAAATGCTACTGTATGAAACAGAGCTATGTTTGGAATGTATTCACTTGTGCAAACTTTTCAAAAGACGCTAGAATTCAACCACTCAGAGCTCAGGTGACTGACCAGGTGTTACAACCCCAATTTAAAAAATTGGGATGCTGTGTAAAATATACATAAAAATAGAATGCAATGCTTGCAATTCTCATAAACCCATATTCTATTCACAATAGAAAACACATCAAATGTTTAAACTGAGAAAACGTATAGTTATAAGAAAAAATAAGGCAATTTTAAAACTGATGGCCACAGTGAATGTAGTCCCATTCTTGCCTGATATAGAGAATTCTGACTGCTGAACAGTCCCATTGTGTCGTCCTTTTTTTTTTTTTTCGTTTCAAGATGTGCCAAATATTTTCCTTTTTTGGTGATATGCCTGGACTGCAGGCAGGACAGTTAAAGCGGAACTTAACGCTCTCAATCATATACTATTTCTAATCCTTATGCCACTAGTATTTTTAAATAAATATGAAAGTATATAATATTTACCTGTTTTAACCTTTTTTTTCTTGCATTCCTTCATTTCATTTCTGGTTTCCATGCCTAGGCAAATTATGTCATAAATCGCAGGAGGGGAGGGAGGGTTCTCAGCTCAGCCAATACCTGAACTAAGGACAGATGGATTCCAGGAAGTAAGTTCTACATGAATTATCTAC